CGTCACAGAGCTATGGAACTCCTCAACAACAGCAACCGTCACAGAGCTATGGAACTCCTCAGCAACAGCAACCGTCACAGAGCTATGGAACTCCTCAACAACAGCAACCGTCACAGAGCTATGGAACTCCTCAGCAACAGAAGCCATCACAGAGCTATGGAACTCCTCAGCAACAGCAACCGTCACAGAGCTATGGAACTCCTCAGCAACAGCAACCGTCACAGAGCTATGGAACTCCTCAACAACAGCAACCGTCACAGAGCTATGGAACTCCTCAGCAACAGAAGCCGTCACAGAGCTATGGAACTCCTCAGCAACAGAAGCCGTCACAGAGCTATGGAACTCCTCAACAACAGAAGCCGTCACAGAGCTATGGGACTCCTCAGCAACAACAGCCGTCACAGAGCTATGGGACTCCTCAGCAACAACAGCCGTCACAGAGCTATGGGACTCCTCAGCAACAACAGCCGTCACAGAGCTATGGAACTCCTCAGCAACAGAAGCCGTCACAGAGCTATGGAACTCCTCAACAACAGAAGCCGTCACAGAGCTATGGGACTCCTCAACAACAGCAGCCGTCACAGAGCTATGGGACTCCTCAGCAACAACAGCCGTCACAGAGCTATGGGACTCCTCAGCAACAACAGCCATCACAGAGCTATGGAGCCCCAGAGCAGCCCTCTCAGAATTACAGAACACCACAGCAGCAGCAACCTTCTCAAAGTTATGGAGCACCTGAACAGCCGTCCCAGAATTATGGTGCTCCCCAGCAATCACAAAATGATTTTGGCCAAAGACAAAATGCGAACAGGTTAGGTGGCAGGCAGAATAATAACGGAGGAAGCAGGTATGGAGGGCGCCAAAACAACGGTGGCGGAAATGGTTTTGGAGGTAAGCAGAATAGAGGCAGCAACACTGGTTATGGAGGCCAGCAGAATGGAGGCAGCGGTGGATATGGGGGCCAGCAGAATGGAGGCAGCGGTGGATATGGGGGCCAGCAGAATGGAGGCAGCGGTGGATATGGGGGCCAGCAGAATGGAGGCAGCAGTGGATATGGGGGCCAGCAGAATGGAGGTAACACTGGATATGGAGATCAACCAAATACCGGCGGCGGAAATGGATATGGAGAACAGCAGCATATGAAGGTAGCAATTACTGCCTGTTATACTTTGATTTCATAATCCAACAAAGTGATGCAACTGAACTTCTCTTTTCTCCTGCGTAACTCAGAATTTATCTGCTTTCAGGGGATGCCATACGGTTTTGACTACGCCGTCAACGACCAGTACAGCGGCACTGATTTCTCACAGTCAGAGTCATCTGACGGAAACGTAGTAACCGGGGAGTACCGGGTTCTCTTGCCCGACGGGAGGACACAGATCGTCACTTATACCGCCGACCATGAGAACGGTTTTGTTGCAGATGTTAGGTATGGATAAAAAAAATAAGAAGAAATCGCAGTATGCGGGTAATAAGCTTCTGGGTCACTTATTTTCGCACACATACCAATCTTTCGAGTCTCTTATTCATTATTTGAACTGTAAATTGAAATTTTCCCACTTGACATTTCAGGTATGAGGGCGAAGCTCAGTACCCTCAAGGAAATAATGGCGGTGGCTACGGAGGGCAGCAGGACAGTGGCTACGGAGGGCAGCAGGACAGTGGCTACGGAGGGCAGCAGGACAGTGGCTACGGAGGGCAGCAGGACAGTGGCTATGGAGGGCAGCAGGGCAATAATAATGGGTACGGGGGGCAACAAAATGGTGGCAGCAGTTACGGAGGACAACAGGGTAACAATAATGCATATGGTGGGCAACAGAACGACAACAGTGGATATGGAAGACAACAGAATAATAACAACGGGTATGGAGGGCAGGAAAATACAGGTGGCAGCAGCGGTTATGGAGGACAACAGAATACTGGTGGTAGCATCTTTGGGGGCAGCACGGGTCAGGGCTCAGGGTATGGCAGGAAGTAGCAATGATTCCGTTATAAAACCGTTAAATTGAAGTATGTCAGTTATACAAAAAAGTTATCAGACTTGAAAAATCAGGAAAAATTCAGGTGCTCTGTATTTAACGTCGGTTTATTTATGGGCTATTGCTATGAATTATTTACTACATTTTCCAAGCCAAAATTCGCCATGTGTCTCATCTAGTGTGAAACGAATGATGAAGGTCTGTTTCTGTGTGATGTAAAGCCAATAGATATAGTGCCAATTAGTTAGTAGATATGTATAGAAAAAAAAAAACAAAAAAACTTACCATAGCTTTAAGGCATGCATAGTTAACACCAACTGTTGCCTTAAAATCCTTGTGAATATCATTTGATGTTCATAAGCAGCGGTGGAATAGGTTTTGTCTCTGAGGTAAATAATTTAGATTAAGAAGATAGAAAAGTTTTTATTTTTGTGAAGATTCATATGCCTGTAGTAATATATTTATAGTAACAGAAGTATATTAATATAAAAATCTACATTATTTTTGTAAAACAAAAGCAAATAAAATATATAATATGCATTTATTATGGTCTTTCCTTTATATTTCCTTCGTGGCGTGGTCTTTGCATTCCATTCTTGAAATAAAGAGTATTAATAATCACTGCAAGAACACCCTGCTATAAGCTACATCGGTGTACGGCTCAATTGTACATCACCCCCACCCCTTACGTACATATATCTCACACGAATAGAGACTGGAACATAAATACTTGAATTATGATTATGGATAGTATAAATGTGCAACTAGAAAGTTGTGTTAAGCTGTTAGATAAATGTATACAATATATATATGTGTATGTATATATTTCTCTCTCTATATATTTCTATTTATGCCACCATCCCGCACACATACACACACGCACACACACACACATATATGTGTGTATGTATATATATATATATATATATATATATATATATATATATATATATATACATATATATATATATATATATATATATATATATATATATATATATATATATATATTTGTGTGTGTGTGTGTGTTTGTATATGTATATAAGTATATATATATATATATATATATATATATATATATATATATATATATGTGTGTGTGTGTGTGTGTGTGTGTGTGTGTGTGTGTGTGTGTGTAAATAAGTGAATAAATAAATAAATATATATATATATATATATATATATATATATATATATATATATTCATTTATTTACTTGGAAATGAACTGAAAATGTATATATATATATATATATATATATATATATATATATATATATATATATATATATATATATGAAAATGTATATATATATATGAAAATGTATATATATATATGAAAATGTATATATATATATATATATATATATATATATATATATATATATATATATATATGTATATATATATATATATATATATATATGAAAATGTATATATATATATATATATATATATATATATATATATATATATATATATATATATATGCAATAACAAATACATACACGCACATACATATATGCATACATACGTACATATATATGTTTATGTACCAATCTATTCATAATGCATGAGATTAAAAGCTGTGCCCATGCAGGGAAGGCGGGGCTTTGTCTTGGGGCCTTTGCGTTTTCTCTGGAGGCTGGTGTCATGTCATAGAAACATTGGAGGAGGAACTTGGATGCAACTGCTGAGTACTAGCTCATCTAGATCTGCCCGTTTTCTTATTATTATTATTCTTTTTCTTCTTCTTTATTATTATTTTTACTCCCAACAGTGCATTACTGGTGATAAAATGTAGTGTCGAAAATGCATTATGGTAAAAGATATTTTTAAAATGTATTTTAGAATTTACAGATTTAAAATATTCGTGAAACGTGAAAGTCTATTTATATCTGGAGTATGTGTAGCAAATATATTCATATTCCTTGCGAATTAATCTATCACAATATAATCAGTACCTTTTTGAATTATAACACACATAAGTTGGCATCTTAGCAATCCATTCGTAATAACATTATTTGCCTCGCCTTGATATACCAAAGCTATACTAACACTTTACAATAGTATTTATCCGCGCACTTAGCTATAGTGCTTCATGTTCTTGTATAATCTGTTCATTTGCAAGAGCTTTTTTCACAAATATTGAGGAAATACTCACATGCAATGCACGCGAGTGATAAGGTGAAACAGATAACAACAAATAATCTACCTTTACGATTTGTATTGAAAATCTGGCGGCTGATCTAATCTCAAACTTAACAATAATTTCTAGAATATTGCACGATTACTCACTCAGAAAGTGTTGTTGTTTTTAATATAACATGACGGAGCTGATTGAATATTGCATTTATGTTTCTTCTATCCTCGATTACAACTTTAGCACCGTCATGCAATATAAAATAGTCACTCTTAAATTGTTGTAATGTTCTATGATCGGACTGAAGGGGCGAAGAGAAAACGGATACTGACGTTTCACTCTAGTTCTTTTGCTTTTTTCGTGTATAATCCCTAACACACTGTTGTCAAAAGACGTTTCACATTGTATTAATATTGGGTAAGGGTGGTCTTTTAAAGTGCGAAATCGGCGGGGAGGCAAATATGATAACATAAATAAATGAATGAAGAGTTAGATAGTAAAAATAATACCGTCAGAGCACGCACTACTATCATCATTGCTATTGCTATCATTATTATCATTATTACTCTTATCATTATTAATACTATTATCACTGTTATTACTATTATCATAGTTGTCATTGTCATTATTATTATCACTTTTATAACTGTCGTTACCATTAACGTTATCATGCATTATTATTATTATTATTATCATTATCATTACTATTATCAGTATCACTATCATTATCTTTCTTATCATCATTATCACTATCATTATCATTATCATTGTCATTTTCATTATCATTATCATTATCATCATCATCATCACCATCATCATCATTGATCATTGTCATTGTCATTATCACTATCACTATCATTATCATTATCATCATCACCAT